AAAATAATGTAGAGTTTGAAAAACTTGTATCTTTGAAACAGGAATAATGAGTTCGAAATAATATGCGTGAATGCGTGATTATTATTTCAGATATTTACTATGCACGCATATTGCATACTGCATACGCATTTGTATGCATATTATATTTTGAATTTAGATTTAAGAAGTTAATTTCTCATTTGGTATTAACGCGAAATCAAATAAAGCATGACCAGCGCGAGATTCGTCGCCCCTCAAATCCCTAATTTGATCTGAACATCCCGAAAACCCGTGCGCGATCCATCAGTGTAGAAGTTTTGAACGGCGGAAAATCGCACGAGAAAACTATTTTTCCAGTAAATGGCCGGATAGTCTCCGCAATAATGACCTTCAGAGTCTGGGATTGCATAAAATAGGTTTCTGATTCCGCTGACCGACGTATTGCATGCGGTCGCTTCGAAAGTCTGTACGAATAAATCCGAAACGCCCTGTATATATGTTTGAAATACGATATTATATATAATTACGTCGTGGTTGTACAGGATGTCCGTCGCGTTCTCGCGATATTTTTAAGTGCGGGACACGGAAAATCCATTATCCCGACGGCTACAGTAAAACGTAGGTACCGTACGTTTAGACACCCTGTGAGTGTGATGATATGGACAAAAGTCGTTGTAAACTTTTTCGACATTGTACATACGCGCGCGCACGCGTGTGTCACGGTATTGAATCCGTCCGATGGCGCAGGGTACACATTGTAATAATACACAAAAGCGTACGCTGAATTATTGTATTGTATATGCGACTAGACGGCCGAAAAATAAATTAACACCCTACACCTTCGTACACAAAAATGGACGCACGGTTGAAATAAGGATAGATTAAAAAAAAAAATACTGTTACGTAAAAACTCATTTTATAATACAACTTCTATGTATTGGTTTAATATAGGTGCGCCATGAGATTACGTTTTTCAAAAACGTCAGTCATCGTGATGTTTTAATTTTTTTTTTTTTTTTACAGACGATTTTTGACGATGAAATCGTAATAATAATAATAATAATAATAATACGATGCTACCTATCCGTTTATTTTAAAATCAATCTGTAAACACCGACACGCGTAATTAACTACGTTCTAAATATCTCGCGGGTTATTTTTTTTATTCGTGTTTTAAGCGCATAACTACTATTCACGTAGATTATACGCTATCGTCAAATATCATTATTCTAATGAGGACAATAAAATTAAAACTTGAATTTCAAAAATCGGCAGGATAACTGATAACNATTTTTGACGACGAAATCGTAATAATAATAATAATAATAATAATAATAATACGATGCTACCTATCCGTTTATTTTAAAATCAATCTGTAAACACCGACACGCGTAATTAACTACGCTCTAAATATCTCGCGGGTTATTTTTTTTATTCGTGTTTTAAGCGCATAACTAATATTCACGTAGATTATACGCTATCGTCAAATATCATTATTCTAATGAGGACAATAAAATAATACTGTGATTTTCGCGCGAATCTATACAGTATTCATTTTTACGTCGACGAACGAATTTTCGATTAAGAATACATACCTTTTTGTACGCTACACCTCGGGTATACATTTCATTTTTGTGTAAATTACCTAGCCTACGGCCGTGCACGTGTAGTATTATAAGTACATATTATATTATAAGAGATCAGTGGCGTTCCAAGGATGTAGTACTCGAGGAGCAGACTTATTACTATACCCATCCACCCACCATAATTCACCAATTTAGTATAAGCCTATGTACCTTTCGTAAATTAAAATATTCATGTAATTTCCTTGATAACGTCTCAAAATTGTAAGATATTAAAAACACAGCACATCTGGACCATAATAAAGGAGAAATAAAAAACACAAATTAACGGTGCAAATCTGAAAATAAGATTCGTTTTATTTCAACTAGGTATTCAGTAGGAATTAAAAACTATCGCAGTTTAGCATAACATTGTAAAGTTAATTATTTTTTTCAAATTATTTTGTTTCAAATATTAGTCTCAATTATTACTTATCGGCTACACCGCGGTTATTACCGTCAACCGTTACGTCACGGTAAAAACGAAAATTATAACGTGTTCTAATAAAAATTTAAGAACGTGGTCAACAGTATAATAAAGTACGCTATTGTTTTCAGTAATGTTCAAAGAGAATATTCGTTACTGAAGCAATTACGCGATAAATATGGTGGTAATATTCAGCTTTGATAAGGGATATAGTAATTATTTGTTATTTTGTCAGTAATAAAAATAATATTCTCACAAAACGCAGCGGGTACGTAAATAATTGACGACACCGTTACTTTTAAATCAAATACAACGATCAAGTGTACCTACATTAAACAATAAAATTAAAACTTGAATTTCAAAAATCGGCAGGATAACTGATAACTGATAAACATGTTTCTCCACCGTAAACCATCACACAATCTACCGCATGTAACCATTATGGTTAGAATAATGTACTCTTCCGGAACATTACACTGCGCGAATTAAGTATTAGGATGTCCTATCTGTGAATAATTGTGTATAGTTTAATATTTCTATGAGTCATAGTGATAGTAAATCGATAAAGCACGACATTTTGTAACACTAACCGCAAATGACATGACATTAACGACACATTTAATAGTAAGATCACAGAAAATATCAATTAATAGACACCTGTCGTGTGTATAAAAGACTGTCCTAGGATAATTGGGGATGGGTGCAGCGCCACTGTTATTTAAGTAATTTATGTATACTTGTAAGGAACAGTAAACTATTGCTAACGAAAAAACGATTCTACTGTGCTTTGTCAATGAATACATGTCGTATTACGGACAAATAATTAAACAGGAATTATATAATTTTCTTTAATAATATTTGTTTAATGTACCGATTTTCCTGTTTTTACTACGTTTTTGCAGTTTTCCTCCGATTTTTCCCATTTGTTGATAAAACTCCTGAGAAACGGCATTTTTAAAGTACCTTCCCTGTCGGATTTTCTTTCGAAAAAAGCGTTATCATTGTAAATCGGAGCGAAATTGCTTGTAGTAAAGTTGTCCACAGAAAAAAAAAAAACCGTAATATATTTCGTACGTTTTCCAGTTATTTTTTTTTTAGGTTTTTCATATTTGATGAGAAAACTCCTGAGAAATTTACCTCCCTGAAGTACTCTCTCATGCCGATTTCTTTTTAGATAAGTTGCTATACGATTAAAGATCGAAGCAAAATTGTTGGTAGAAAAGTAGCGCACAGATATATATAAAAAAATAAACATCATTGTAAAACCATAAGCTATTTCGCTCCACTCAGAATCTAAAATACAATTTAATATCGCAATTATATGAATAATGTAGCGTTATTTCGGCGGGCTAATTGGGACTAGGCATTTGAAAAGTAAGACGCGTAACCGCGCATCCTGTCCATCCCCGCCCACCCCTCAAATGACGCCTCCGGCCATTATAACACCGTGAGATGGCGATTACATTAAATTACATTTTACGTATATACGGGCAAGCGTAATACTTATTTGCATTTATAAAGCACTAGTTTTACACACTATATACAACAAACACAATAATATATTATTCTAGAAGAACATTAAAAACACATTCAACACAGATGTTGTTAACGTTAATGTTATGTATTATTTTCTTTTTATTGTTATCATTATGTAACGACACGGCGTAAATACATTTATATTATCATTATTTGTATTTGTTCACATTACGAAACCGTAATATTGTGTTTAAATAAATCGCTATACGAAAACGTGTATTGTCTGGAGTAAAAAAAAAAAAAATAAAAATAAAAAAAACAAAACAAAAAAATCAAATCGGAATAAGCAAATGAAAAAGAAAAAAAGACAATAGTCATCGCGCGAAGATGATACGGTAAAAAAAAAAATTTAAATAACGTGTCGTTGGGCATTGCGTGTACGCACGGAATACAAATTAACGCGTGTAAAATCGTTAGTAAAACGAATTATAAAATGTAATCCGCGGCCGATATTGCTGCACGATCTTTAAAACAATAACACCGTTATCGCGTATATTAGTTTTGAAAATGTCAGTGAGCGATTTCGGTCGGATTAATCGTCGACATCTGTCGTGTAGCACAGTGTAATGGCTGCCTTATTGGAAATCCTATACGCAGAGTTCGACATTCAACCGTCACCTCAATCGGTTTTTTTTTTTTTTTTTTTTTTTTTCCGGAAGTAGTATAATTTTGAAATACAGTGTAGCGCGTACAGCGTTTTGTTCAATTATAATAGCGTTCAGTTATTTATTATCGTTTCGCGATTCGCAATACGAAACAGACGGGAACAAATTCGACTCTAGTGACTCTAGTGACGGCTGCTGTTCACCGGTATTTATTTTATTTTTTTTTTTTTTCAGTTGTCTAATACCTAACAATATTTCATTCTTGAATTTTCTTTTTTAAAATTCCTCCTCCCCCCGGGGACCTTTATACCGATAATCAAACGCTATAAAGTATCACGTACGGACGGCCAAATTATAAAACGGCCTTTGTGCGAACCGCGAAATTATAATATTAATTGATAGGCGGTGTATTAGACACATAACACGTGCAGCACGCGTTCCACGCGTTGATGCACGCGCCGACGCTTTCAATTATTATTATATTTATTTAGGGTCGTTCGTCGCACCCCACGGGGTAGGTGCGCGGCGCACATGAAACGGACGGAATAATTATTGTAACACAGGGTGTTTCAAAAGGCTCCGTATCTCTCGTTCGAACAACATGCGCGTTTGTTTCGCAAAACCACCCAGAGAAGACGCCCCCGGTCGACAGTGACTCAGTAAATGTTCTTATTAAAACGACCGAACATTCTATTGTCATTCTATTTCTTCGGTAATTCGCATACCTCATTTTAAATTGTTCGCTGCTTCACGGCTATTTCGCGCCGTTCGTCTCTGTAACATTCCCTCGTCGTCCCTTCTACGGTCGCACGCGTTTTTCAAAGTCCGTCTTCACTCTCCCGAGTGCCCGCCATGAATCTTCTTCCGTTGATTATTCTCGCCATAGTTTTTATAACAGCCTTTTATCACTCCACGCATGTCAATTCCAACTCTTTCATTCTTGATAAATGCTTTCATACTTGACATTCGATCGGCCCAGTCATCGGATTCATTTATTCCGCCGAGAGTGTTGAACAACAAAACATAAACTTGATTACTATGTATTATCTCACGTCTTGCCGGTAAAAAACCGTGTCTGGGCTATATCGATAATATTATACGTAATCGGACCTAGACTTTTGTAACACCGTGTATAATATATTACGATATTATATCGCGAGACGGCGGTTTTTTCCCTTCCTCTATTTCTTTCGTTCCCATCGAAAAACTCCCCGATTCGTTCGGCTATCATCGTCTCGTACCTATGTTATGTAGGTAGGCTGCTGTTGTCGTCGTCCTTTGGTTACCGAACCGCATCGGATGGTCCGCGCCCGACTGGAAAACCTATAGGCGCGCCACCACAACGGACATCAAAATTTCGTATATACAGAGTGATTCATTCAATACAAACGTGTCGGGTTTATACGTTATGTACGAACATTTCGGGTAAGCTCGATTTCCGAGGTTTTCGACCAACGGTCGTTATGAATCAGGAGTCGGGAACCTTTGGGTGTAAATGAGCCAATTTTTTTTTTTTCAAAAAATTGCAAAACCGCGATCTTCAAAGAGCCGAAATAGTTAAGTTTTATCTTACCAATTACCATTGTACAAAAACGACTAATATATTTTACTAAGCAATTTTATCGGTAGGCATTAAAATCATATAATAACATGTTTTAAATTCAGAAAAACTTTATTTCGTTAATACATTATTATTACTCATTATTAAATTATTATTATTATTATTATTGTTTACACAAAAATATGAAATACTATTTAATTAGCGTCCAATTAAGATACAATAATACGCGAAATTAATAAAAAAAAAAAAAAAAAAAAACCGTCTCCGTCTAATTAGTGGGATTTTTATCCGCGAATTCCCGCGCGCAGTTTATTAAAATCTGGAGATTAGTGTAACGTTAGTGTTTACGATAACGTAAGTAAATTGTGCGGCATTATAGATAAAATTTTAATTTTTTTTTTTTTTTTTGTTTACCAGAAATAAACATCGTTAAATCCACAATATCGCCGTTATATAAATATAAAATATAACATATAACACATTGTGCTGAGATATTACAAACAATTGTAATCGAATTTTAATTTTTATATTTTAAAAGGGTCTGGCTCTCGATCTATAATGTCTCGATGTCGATGTAGTTTCCGAAGAGCCACAGATTGCAGTTAAGGTGCCGCTGCCGGCTCTCGGACCCCTGCTACGGACGCAGCGTCGTTAAACGGTCTTATCGTTTTCAGAATTCCATAAGAGTTTATAGTGCTCAAGGGGGAAAATTTTGAAAATATCGCAGTGATTATTAACGACCATTGTATGAAACGATTCGATGAATTGAAGAAAACAAAATCAAACGTAAACGGAAATCTTCGTATGGACGTATCGCTGTCGGTGTCGAAAAGAAACACCCTGTATAAGCGCGTCCGCTCGTCTCGTACGTGCACACAAAAGGGCGCTGCATTATACGTATATACGTGTATACGGTTATTTACTTGCTGCACGACGATTTTTTTTTTTTTTTTTTCTATACATGTATCGTTTTTCCTTTTACTTTTTTTCCCTCCGCGTGTAACAAAAGCCGACAACACCGTTATCAATCAGTATATGGAGAAAAATGTCGTTTCAAACGACTCTCGTTTTCTGTATGGGTTCTAGGGGTTTTTTTTTTTTTTTTTAATTAGATTTCGGGCTTCATCATAAAAAGTATACGTAATCGTACGGGGGGGAAAGAAAAAATTGAATAAATATTACGAATCTAACGACCGCAGGAAAACGAACGCCGTTCACTAATTGTACGCATAATACGGCGGACATGTTAACATTTTCTTTACTAAATCGCTAGCAGAGACGTATAATAATTATTTGATTCGATACGACGTACCTATACACCTATATATATATAAATACATTGGATATGTATGTACAGATATTATAATTTATAGCGCGAGTTGTTAAACTTTGGAACATCGGAGTTGCGAGGCTTTTCCGGCTAAATAATAATAATGATAATAATAACATTGCTAACGAGGAACCGCAGCCGAACATTTTCAAAGTTTCGGTATCTCTCGCGAGTTTATACCGCGATTCGATCTATAGATACGCGTACGCGTATACAAATATTACCGATAATTAATAATGTCATTAAAATGTTCTCGTCCACCGCGGTCTCTCTCGATACACGGCTATTCGAATGTCTCAATGTCTCTTGATCAGAGATTGCTAAACTCTTTATGATACGGCCCGTTTTCGAAATTATTTTTATATTTTGGCGACCCACAATAACATCAATGTCCCCCTTTTTTTTTTTGATTCATTTTTCATTTTCGGATGATTCATGAAGTTTGTTCAGTAACACGCTCTCATTTGTAAGTATAGATCCGCTTGTCGGTAGAAAATTCGTTCATAAGAATAAAAAAGCCGTAATATTTTTTTTAACTAATACCCGCATTTCGTAAATTTTCCCGTTTTTCCGATTTATTGGAATTTATCACGAATACAAAATGCCGATATCGGATATTATTGAAAACATAATAATCGCATATTTATTATTGGTGTCATTAAATTTTCAATTTTACGTATTTTTTCTATTTGATGGTGGGAAATGAGACGAGACGGCCCCATAAATTTACAATTTAATTTACTGTAATGAAAAATGTCATCGAAATTCCTTAACTTGTCATTCTAATTATTTGCATATTAAATATTGGAACGGAAAAAAGACAATTTCGAAAAGGTTAAGAAGGGGGGGGGAAGGTGAAATATTTTGTGAATATTTTAATCACACTAAAAAGTAAATTTTTGAAACGCAACTATATATTGCAAATGTAACGGCTGTACGTATGTCTAGTACTTTCCTCCCCTGTTATTGCGAAATCGTTTCTCACTTAAAAATTATAGGAAAAAATGAAAACTTAGCTGTATTCGTCGTGAAAAATCGGGGTGATAGTGGGGCAGTAAATATGTCTTGTACGATTTAGTAAAGCGCAATTGCAATTTTGGGTGCCAGCCAAATCGGCGAGTCTCTACCTATTATATTATTGTGCGTTACATAGATTCTATTATGTTTATGGTTACACTCGATAATACGGTTTAAACCGGATGTCGAATATGCGCGGGAAAGTAACCCGATGTTAAAAATGTCAAAAACAGAGTTAAAAAAATACATACTTCGCACGATGGGTGAACCATTATTGTAGGTGAAAAATTAGAATATAAAGGGGAATTTATGTATATCTGTATGTAGTGATTAATTATTGCTAACCAATACGGTTCTGATTGGTTCGGCCACATACATGTCTTACCGTAATACCTATTTATGATAAAAAATAATATATTTTGTAAATTTCCCCGTTTTTCCTACGGTTTTCCCGGTTTTTTCAATTATTATGAAAACCCATTGAAATGCCAAAATGACTCGTCTACAGTACCGCCCAGATAAAATTTCCTTTCAAAGAAAATGCTACATTTGATAATCGAAGTGAAATATCTTAGTAGTAAACTTGTTCACAGATAAAAAAAAGTAAAAATAAAATAAACATCTTCGTAAAATCAATACATTTCTCGCCTTTCCTCAGAATCTAAAAATAATCAGAATCAAAAATAACAGAAATCGTTTTTCCGATATTACTTTTCATTCTTAAGTTAACTACAGCACATAATATTTCGGATTTCGAAAATCCGGATTTCCGAATTTTCCCCACTAATTGTATTATTACGTTATACGGTTCTATATAATTCCGCGTAATTTTCGTGAAATGTTTTGTTTTTTGATGAAAAAAAAAATTTACATAATTTATTTTTAAATTTAAAACTTGAAATATTAACCGTACAGCAGACTCGAGGCGTTGAACGATCCCGGACTGCATGTAGCTTTTTGCAAATTGTCAACGACCAGTCTTGTGAAACGTTCGAATGCTTGTGTTCAAATAATACTTTATTTTTGGTATTCTATACGCTTTAGGAATACTAGTTTTTCGTATTTTCATTCCGGAATATAAAACAATTTTGTTCGCGTCACTGTGCATACAACGATATTTTCTTATATTTACGATTTTAAATTTGAATCGTTTCTAGTAAAAGTATGACGCGATAATTTGGGATCCTTATAATTTGAGTTTATCCAAGCAAATATAAAGCGTGCGCATCGAAAGTTCCTCAGGTTTGCTGTTTTTGCACTAAATACTGAACACATACCACATGACTACATTCAAGTACTCCAGTCCCTTGGCCTGTCCTCTCTGGCTGGCAAATGGGCTGAAGCGAACGTACAGTTTTTTCGTAAACCACTAAATGGTAATAATGACCCCACTTCCCTCTTAAATTTCCTCAAATTTAAAATCACGTCATTTTTCTCTAGGACCAACTCTTCTTTTCTTATTCCTACACGCCGTGAACCAATGCCCTTGTCAGGATGATGAAGACTGCCAATGAGGACCCATAATTTTGGATAAATTAGTCAAGCTATAATATTATTATTACGTTATCAATTCACTTATTTTATCTTAATATACCTAGTCTTTTCGACCAACTTCTTCTAACAATGTGTTACCTGTTTTATTTGAATTATTGTGTATCGTACCAATAATTTCTTTCGTTGTATTGGTATAACTTCAGCTTCAGACCGTATTTTTAATAAAATAATACAGTGTTTCATAACGGTTCTATAAGTATTTACAACACGATTTCGTTCATGTTTATTATTATAACTCAAAACTCAATGCAATTTACGTCTTTGCTAACACAATTAAATGCGCATATAATGTTAATATAATCATGCGATATTTGATATTCTCAAAATTATTTAAATTAAATAATATTCATAAACATTTTTCAGAGTTTATACACAATTTGTAGATTTTTTGAGGCATATCAAATGTAGGTAACGAAGTTTTTTGAATTTTTTTAACGAGCATTTGTATTTCCATAATTAAATATACGTTGAAAATAAAGTAAATGTCAGCTGAGTTTTCATTCTACGAAATTCCAACATTATTAATGCTCTATGAAAAAAAAAAAAGAAAAAAAAAGAAGTGCGGTTCGGAACTGAAATACGTCATTTCCGCGTGTATAACATCACACCTACA